TTTTTGACATTGATAATTCCTATCTACAAACATGGTATATCACTTTTTATGCCATCTTAAATGTATGTGAGCAAAGTTGTGTATATTTTACCAGTGTGTAAGCTTTGCACGTCTCATTATATGCTTTCCTATTTAACACTTTAGGGTCTTAGAAATATTGCTGTTTCTAATTTTAGGGTTTTTAAAAAATTCTTTGTTGCTAAAAGACAGAATTACAATTAATTTATTCTTGTACAATAATTTTGTGCACTATAGCCAGTAGTTCTAATACATGAATTCTCAGAGTTTTGTGCCCATGTATAATCTACTAATCACGATACTGCTCCTTAATCTCTTCCTGAAGTTACAGTGCTGGCTAAGAATTCTGGTAAGATGCTTAACGGAAATTGTCAGACGAGATATCTGTGATTTGTTTCTAGTCTTGGAGGGAAAGCGTCTAGTATTTCCCCATTATGTATGTTAGCTGGTGGCTTTTCATCAGTGAGTTTTACCAGATTGAAAAAGATTCTCTTGGGGGCCTGGAGAGATGGCTCAGCGGCTGGGAGAACTGGCTGTTCTCCAAGAGGACCCAGGTTCAATTCCCAGCACCCACATGGCAGCTCACAACTGTTTGTAACTCCAAGATCTGATACCTTCACATAGACATACATTGACACCAATGCACAGCAAATAAAACCAATTTTTTTCAATTTTTATTGCCTTATAAATAATACCATTCAAAATTTCCACTTCCTCCCCTCCTCCCATTTCCCTCCCACTCCCCCACTCACCCTCCTCCCTCCCCCCTAGTCTTAAGAGAGGCCCTGTGGGAAGTCCAAGGCCCTTCCCCCTTCATCCAAGCCTACGAAAGTGTGCATCCAAATAGACTAGGGTCTCAAAAAGCCAGTACATGCAGTAGAGACAAATCCCAGTGCCATTATCATTAGCTTCTCAGTCGGGCCCCATTGTCAGTCACTTTCAGAGAGTATGGTTTGATCACATGTTCATTCAGTCCCAGTCCTTGGTGAGCTCCCATTAGAACAGGCACACTGACTCAGTGGATGGGTGCACCCCTCGCGGTCCTGACTTCCTTGCTCATCTTCTCCCTCCTTCTGCTCTTCAACTGAACCTTGGGAGCTCAGTCCAGTGATCCGATGTGTGTCTCTGTCTCTATCTCCATCCAACTAAATTATTTTTATAAAGAAAAGAAAAAGGTCCTTTTCTTTCCAGTGTTTTATTGCAAATGACTATAGAGTTTTTTGTCACTAGCTTTTCTGTGTCTATTCAACTGATTACATATAATTTTCTCCTTCATTGTGTTAATATGATGAGTCACACTGATTTTAAGCACATAAGGCAAGCTCTTAAAAACTGCACATTTCCCTCCTTCGTTAGCAAATCAGTGAATTTTGGTGCTACATTTTCTTATTCATACAACTTGAAATCAACTTAATTTCTTCTGTGTTTTCATCTTGAGCCTATATGTTGTTTACACATATACTGTTTAAAATTTAAATATTTGGAGATATTAGATGCTAACATAATACCTTGAAACTATATGCTGGCTAGTTTTGATATCAACTTGACACAAACTTGTATAATGTGTTATAGGGAACCTCAGTTGAGAAAATGTCCTCATCAGACTGGCCTGTAGGGCATTTTCTTAATTAGTGATTGATGTGGGAGGGCCCAGATCACTGTGGGTGGTACCTTCTTTGAGCTGGTGGTTTTGGGTACTATATGAAAGAAGGCTGAGCAAGTGAGGAGGACTAAGCCAGGAAACAGCATTCCTCCTGGCCTCTGCATCAGCTCCTGCCCTGACTTCCATGAATGATGGACTACAAAGTGTAAGATGAAATAAACTCTTTCCTCCCTGAGCTGCTTTGGGTCATGGTGTTTTATCGCAGCAATGGAAACCCTAAGACACACTAAATGATTCCAATATCTTTAATCAAGATTTATTTCATAGCTTACCTGAGCTAATGGGAGCTCACCAACTCTGGCCTGACAGCGAGGGAACTAGCATAGAACCAATCTAGGCCCTCTGAATATCGGTGACAGTTGTGTGGCTGGGGCACAGCACTGGGGCAGTATGTGGGACCACTGGCAGTGAGACCAGGACTTATTCCTGCTGCTTGAACTGGCTTTTTGGAACCCATTCTCTTAGGAGGGATACCTTACTCAGTCTAGACATAGTGGGAAGGGCCTTGGTCCTGCCCCAAAGCAATGTGTTAGACTTTGTTGACTCCCCATGGGAAGCCTTACCCTCTCTGAGGAGTGGATGGCGAGTGGGATGGGGGGAGGTGAAGGGAGCAGGAGAAGGGGAGGGAGTAGGAACTGGAATTTATATGTAAAATGAGAAAAGATAGTTTTTTAAAAAAATTAATTAAAAAATATTTGTTTCATAAAATAGCACATGTTCTAGTGAATGTTCTTTAAAGTCTTAAAAATAATTGTGTGTGGTACAATTGTTGAGAGTAGATTTTAAATACCTAATTATCAGTTCCGACTGTTGATTTAACAAATTGTTTTGATTACTAGTCATCTAAAGAATTCAATAATGATCTAAATAATTCAACTATTAGTGCAGCAAGCCTTTCAGAGGGGCAGAGCTTGGAGAACTTTGGCTTTCCATAGGTTTCAGAATGCCCAAATTTACAGATATAATTATGATTAAACTGTCCAATATTTGAAAGCCAAATTTCCCGATATTTGCCTAGTATTACACTGGTGTGCGAAAAATCTTTCTGCAATTAGAAATAAAGCTGCAAATAAATTATGCTTGCTAGCATTTAATGTGACCCAGTATTTCCACTGAGCACTACCGTCATCAGTCTTGGTTTCGCTTGATACATGAAACTTGGTACCAAGTAAATTATTCCTAGTCTGTTATATGTGTGGAAAGAACTGTGTACCATCACATGGAATTCAATACAAGGCAAAATCCAGCATTGCATATGAATTACATGCATATCAATCTTGTTATCTGTGTCCTATGTTTTTATAGTTAGGTAAATGTCACTAAGGATAAAAAATCTGTGAGAATATTGATATATAAAGAAATTTTTTCTTTCCCTTCTAAGGACAGGATTAACAGAAACACTAAGTTACATCTCATTGCTTCATGAAGTATTCACACTGACATCTGGGTGCAGACACTAGTGTACATGAGTGTGTGTGTGAATATATGTATATGTGCATGGAGGGGAAGCCATCCACACAGAAATAACATGTTCCTCAAATGGAATAAAAACATACATTGGTGAAGCATTCTTGGACAGTTGGACTAACATCATAAAAGCACATCCCCAGTATTACATTTAGAAGGACTGGTTAACTAGATACCACAGTATATGAAATCTCTCCAAGCTAGCAACCTTGTAAGAAGGTTAACACGTCTAAAATTTTTGATTCGCAAACACCATTTTATTGAAGAGAACATTAAACGCTAGCAAGCATAATTTATTTGCAGCTTTATTTCTAATTGCAGAAAGATTTTTCACACACCAGTGTAATACTAGACAAATATCAGGGAATTTTGGCTTTCAAATATTGGACAGTTTAATCATAATTATATCTGTAAATTTGGGCATTCTGAAACCTATGGGTACCCAATTAAAATCTGTAAACTATCTCCTCAAATCAGACCTTCTTTTCTTCTCTTTAGATTTTTCACCACCTAAATAAACATTGGATTAGCATCAAGGGCACACGGGTTACACTGCAGCGAGTTTTCACTGCGCCCTTGCATGTGTTCAGACACTCGCATGGCATATGCTTGAGCCCTTCAAATAACCTACAAAGGACTTTGGGGACAAACAGGTTATTACTTTAAAGATTCACTTTTTTTTAGACTTATTCATTTTATTTAATGTGCATGAGCGTTTTGTCTGCAAGTATGTAAGTGCATGTTTCACATGTGTTACTGGTGTCCAGAGAAGTCCAAAGAGGGCATTGAATCCCGGAACTGGAGTTAGAGATAACTGTGAGCCACCATGTTGGTCCTAAGAGTGAACCTGGATCTTCTGCAAGAACAATAATGACTCTCACTTACTGAACCACATCTCCAGCTCCAAGCTTGACACACACGCTCACCTTCCTTCAGGGTGGCTTTTAGTTCAAGTTAGTGACATTATGAAAACACAATTGTTTCATTTAATATATTTTGGAATAAGTATGGGGGCCTAGTTCGGTCTTTCAAGCAATGTCTTCCCACTGTTGGTTGGTACTCTCCCAATTAAACAACATGTGGGAAGAACCATGGCTGCCCTTGTTGCTACATAAGGTCAAATGTATAAGAACTGGGTGATAAGCTCAAATGTCAATATTTAAACTGATAAAGAGAATTATGGTTCTCTTGTAAAATGTCAAAGCAAAGACCCTGACACTTGGTGTGCATTAGATATGTGATTAATAAATGACTTAAACAACCAAATGGAATGTGGTCTGTCACATTACGAAAGCCCAGTGACCAACTAAATCACCTGAGCCCTAAGCAAATAACACATCTGCATAGCCTCCGAGTGTCTCACAGCGTGTTCCACTCAACAACAGTTAGCCAGCTTTTCGGCAGGCTCTGTAAGCATGGCTGAAGCAAAGAAGATGAAAGGCATTCCTGTGATCTCGGCTGCTGAAGACTGTAAGGAAGACACAGACGTAACAGACACGTGGACTCGCTACCCACGTGCACCAGCCTGAGGACACGGTAGCCATTGATTGCAAACACTCCTACCATTGACCCTAAGAATCCTCACGGGAAAGTTTCTCCCTCAGAAGTCTTCTGAAGCACTCTGCTTTCAGTCGGCTAGGGCCTTATTTCACTCAGACTGTGAAGTTGTAAAGAAAACCCACATGTTACAAGCTTGACAACTTTCCTAACTGCCTGTTGATGGCCACGAAAAGAATTCACTCCCTGCTTCAGTGACAAATGTGACAGCTTCAGCAAGTCTTCTCTGAAAGACCAATAAAGGGGATCAATCTGTGACGGGAAAAACAAGCAAACGAAAACCAAAGGATGAATTTGTGGAACCCAAAGGTTTCATTTTTATTTGAAAAAGAAAAATTACAGCATGAAATGTACAGAATAGAGCACAACTAATTTGCTACATGAATTATAAGCATAAATTGAGAAAAAGAAACAAGCATGAAAATATTACATTTTAAATGCAATTCTTTGTAAACTACTATCAGGAAAAGTTCATCTTGGCACATAGAAAAGGCAATAGCCCTGAAGAGAATTTACTAATGCCCCTCATCCGCCCCAGGACTTCTGACTCTGCATTATCTTGTGCGTTTAAAAGGAGCGCTAGGTCTAAAAAGCGAATTAAATCATAAGTTGTGCTTCCCTTGGCCTTAACTACTCTACAGCCCTACATTTAACTTAATTCATAATAAGCTAAATAATCGAAGGCACGCTGATTGCATTTGGTTACAAAGTAGACAGAGAAGAAACAATTTTCAAGTCAAAAGTATTCTGAGATGACATTTTATCCAGCACAATGTGTTATCCACTGACTGCAGAATTTGAGGAATAAAGAATACTACAAGGAAAATGTTTTTAAAGTAAAAGAAAAGAAAGAAGTATATGCTGTTGCTTCTTTGCATGTTCAAACAAATAAACCTGAAAAAAAAATCCCCATCATTTGGGCTGAAAGTCTTTTGGGTGGTGTTTCCACATGGGCTGAGAAGCAGGCTGCAAGATCTACTTGCCAGTTGACATAGTAGCTTCTTTACATCAGCAGAGTCACCTCCGACACGGCTCTCTGTAATAGAAGTGGAACCCATTATTTCTCAGGGTGTTTGTTTCTCTGTGTGTGTATGTGCATGTGTGTGCATGCGTGCGTGCGTGCGTGTGTCTTTCTGAAGCAGGGTCCTACTATGTAGCTCAGGCTGGCTTGGAACTAACTATATAGCCCAGGTTAGCCTCAAGCTCCCAAACCTCTCGCTTTAGCCTTCTCAGTGCTGGGATTATGGGCACACACCAGTAAAAGGGGCTTGCATCTCGATTCCCGTGTTTGTAAAGTGAAGTCAAATGAACAGCTCCTTTCAGTTTCTGTATGTGTGTTCATATTGTGTGCATGTCCGTGTGGGTGGATTGCAAGTGTATGGATATAGGCCAGCATGTATATGTGTGCCCATGCATGCAGAGGCTAGAGGACATCGGGTATCATCCTTAAGAACATCATCCACAAAAAAAATAAAAAAAAATAAAAAAGAACATCATCCACCCTCTATGAGACACAGTCTCTCATAACTTCTTTTAAACTTTAAGGTGCAGGTGTTGTGGACTGCACTGCATTGCTCTTGTGTAGGGTTTCCTGGGTAGCATGACTCAGGAAGGTATTCAAAGAGGAACTCTAATAGGTTTTCCTGAATTCCCAACACCTGTGATGAAAGCATTAGTCAATTTTGCAGACTCACTTTATTTTCTGACTCCAAAACTAGATAAATAATGCTAGAAGGCCTGGTTCTGACAAGCCTTCTAGACACACACAGGCAGTGTTCAAATACCAAACGGTTTCCTCTGATTGCTCATATCTGACCAACTAATCCAATCGAATTCATCTAGCAATGATATAAACTAAGGAAGTTTCACTTATTACTATAACTGATATAAACCTGTAGGTTTCAAATTACAGGAAGTAAACCATTTAGGGTTTGTTTCTGAGAGCCATTCAATAGGTCTGGAAGGTCAGGTTTACATACGGATATTACTTGCCTCTTGTACTCTCATTCTCAAATGTATGCAGGAGTTTTGTACAGTTTATCTGATCTATGATAGTAGAAAAAAATTGGATTCAAAATTACATGAGAATCAGGACATCTTTTTTAGTGTTTTGTTTTGTTGACACAGGGTCTCTCTGTGTAGCCCTAGCTATCCTGGAACTCAACTTTGTAGACCAGGCAGGTTCTGAACTCAAAGAGTTCTGGGATTAAAAGTATGTGCCACCAGGCCCAGCTCAGGATAACTTTAAATAAACCAGATGTTAAAGATATTTAAAAGAGTGCTTTATTTCTCACTATTTTCTAACTTAAAAAAAAAATCAGCCAGCCAGGCGGTGGTGGCACACGCCTTTAATCCCAGCACTCAGGAGGCAGAGGCAGGCGGATCTCTGGGAGTTCGAGGCCAGCCTGGTCTACAAGAGCTAGTTCCAGGACAGCCACCAAAGCTACAGAGAAACCCTGTCTAGAAAAAACAAAAAAGTAGGCCAAGTGGTGGTGGTGCATGCCTTTAATCCCAGAACTCAGGGGTCAAAGGCAGGTGGATCTCTGTGAATTCCAGCTCAGTGTGGTCTACAGAATGAGTTCTAGGACAGCCACGGGGTGTCACACAGAAACCATCTCAAAAAGAAAAAAGAGAAAGTCACTTTATAATAAAAATGATATTTACTCAAAATTCTAATAGATTTCTTAATTTAAATCTTTGTTATTTCTCATTTTAATATATAATAAAATATATTTTCAACAGATAAAGCTTGCATAAGAAAATAAAAGTCCTTCTTTAAAAGATGCATGTGTATTATATATACCTATGGCCCTTGAAAGCCAGAAGAGGGCATACAATCCTCTAGAATTGGAGTTACAGATGGTTGTGAGCTGCCACATGAGTGTTGGACATTAAACCCACGTCCTCCATAAGAGAAGCCACTGTTCTCAGCTGCTAAGCCATCTCTCCAGTCACTTAAAGATTGAAGTTCTCAATCTCAATATTTTAAGAACATAAAGCATTCGATCATTCAAAATATGAGCACTGCAAATACAATTTTGACAAATTTCCTTCTAGCCCTTAATTTCTTCCTCTGTAAATTATAACTTAAAAAGTTTAGTCTTTCTCACACTAATACTGTTAATATTGAGAAATTATTGTGTAAAGTAATTTCTAAAGTATATTTGAAACTTCATTACATCTGTGTTTATACCTCATACTTAAGTAGAAAACACAGCTCTGAACAAAATTACACGGCAATACATATACAAACATACAAAAGTACATGGAAAACTGGTGACATCTGAGTAAAGTTAGCACTAATGTCAATTCCTAAGATTTGGTATCATCCTCTAATTATAGAAGATAACTAGGTGGAGGGAACACAGACATTTCAGTAGTTTTTTGTTAGCTTCTTCTGAATTTATAATTTCAAATATTAAGCTTAAAAGAAAATTCCATATGCACAGAAAGGTGTAATGAAATAAACATCTTACTTTTTAAAAAATCTAAAATTGAGAGGATCATGAAATCACATACTTGACAGCCTAAGGCAGGAGGCCAGCCTGGGCTACCACAGAGAGCTCCAGAGTGGAAAAAAAATTAAAAATAACAATTGGAAAACTGATTATTTAACATCAGTAGTGTCCTGTGTGTAATTGCAATGTATTCTACATAAAGAGAAGTGACTAGTGAATCTTTATAGGACTCACCTCAAATCATTTCATTTAGATATAGAATATACTCAATAATCCTCAAGGATTCTGACAAAAGTTGTTCTTTATGTGCCCTATCTGTTTCATCAGTAAAACTGCCTCTGTAATTTTGATGTAGTATGTTATACTAACCATTTGTGGCCGATCTTCTTCATTGTCATTGTAACTAGGGTAGAAATAGTTGGCTGAACATTCCGCAGATGCTCCAAGACCTTCTGCAGATGGTGACACCTGAGTCCAAGCTACAAGAAAAATGACAGGTATATCAGTTACTTAAAAGATCTGGTTCTCCACCACAGGAGAAGCAAGCTCACTGTTATAGTTAAAGCTGCGGTCTTCAACAGGCCAATAGTACACACAGTCTTGCTCTACAAAACAAAACTGCACATAGGTTGTACTAGTTTTTAATTTGACATTTCAGAAAAGATTTGGACTACATTATACTTCTTCAAAATTTCAGAATGGTAGGAAGTTGAGGATGATGGACATTATTAAAAGTAATGTTAAGCCAGGTGGTGGTAACACATGCCTTTAATCCCAACTTGGGAGGCAGAGGTAAGTGGATCTTTGTTAGTTCAAGACCAGCCTGGTCTAGAAGTGAGTTCCAGGATAGTCAGAGCTACACACAGAGATACCCTGTCAAAAACAAAAAAAAGTAATGCTAAACATTTTCAAAATATATTGTTTTTCTTACCTCCACACACACGAAAAAAATGATTCTAAATGTTCTTTCTATAATATTTATATTTATCCCATTCAAATAGTACTTGTTAGGTTCCACCTGGTGTTGCTATTATTTTGTCTTGGATCCTCTCTTAGTAAGCAGAGATCATACATTACATATTCTATGCCTTATAAGAGCCTGCATGTAGCCAGGTGTGCACACCTTTGATCCCAGCATGCAGAAAGCAGAGGCAGGTAGATCTCTACAAGTCCAAGGCTAGCGTGGTAGGTTCCAGGCCAGCCTGTACTACATACTAAGACCATGTATCCCCTTGCCAAAACAATGAGGTGACAGGCAGGAGATATGAGGTTTATTTCTTCCTCCCTTTATTTCTTTCTTCCTTCCTTTTTTTTTCTTTAGACTTGAACTGCTTGAGATGAAGTAATTTGTGATAGTTTAAACTGTCAATTTGACACAACCTGGAATCACATGAGAAGACAATCTCAGTGAGGGATTGGCTAGATGATGTTGGCCTGTGAACAAGTGTTGACTGAGGTTTCTGTCCTACCCAATCTTGCAGCCATTCAGTCCCAAAGAAAACATACAGAGGTCTACATTAATCATAAACTAATTGGCCTCGTATCTCAGGCTCTTATTAACTAATTCTTACATCTTATATTATTAACCCATTATTTTTGTCTGTGTTAGCCACATGGCTTGGTACTTTTGTCAGCGAGGGATTCTCATCTTGTTTTCTCTCTGTCTGAGTGATGACTGTAGACTGAATCTTTCCTCTTCCCAGAATTCTCCTGTTCTCATTCCCCTGCCTCTACTTCCTGCCTGGCTACTGACCAATCAGCATTTACTTAAAATACAAGTGACAGGGTACAGACCATTGTCCCACAGCATGTCCCCCCACTTTTTTTTAAACAAGAACTCTGAATCAAATATCATTTTTTTATCTTTTTGTCCAGACCATTATTCATCATATCTTGTAACCAACACTCTAAACAAAGATAAATATCTATAATCCATTTTGTGGGAATGTGGGTGTAATTTTTGGGGATACTTCCTGCTGATTGGAAGCACTGATAATCTTATGGGGACCTAAAGAAAATTTAAGATTATGGCCAAGTCCTGACTGGAAAATTCTGTGAGACTGTGAGAAGTGCTGTGGGACAATTGTTTGTACCCTGGCACTTGTATTTTAAATAAACACTGATTGGCCAGTAGCCAGGCAGGAAGTAGAGCTGGGACAACGAGAAAAAGAGAATTCTGGGAAGAGGAAATAGTCAGTCTGCAGTTGTCACCCAGACACAGAGGAAGCAAGATGAAAATGTCTCACTGATGAAAAGTACCAATCCACATGGCTAATACAGACAAGAATTATGGGCTAATATAAGTTATAAGAGTTATAAGGAGCCTGAGCTAATAGACCAATCAGTTTAAGATTAATGTAGGCCTCTATGTGTTTATTTTGGATTAAACAGGTGTGGGACTTGGTGGGAGAGAAGTCTCTGTCCACAGACAAGCCTGTGGGGGTGACTTTAATTGATATAGTAAGACCTAGCCTGAAAGTGGACAGCATCATTTCTTTATAAGCATAAAGAAAACTATCTAAGGAAACTATTAATGCAAGCAAACAGCATGAATACATTTATTTCTCTTTGCTTCATGACTGTGAACGTGAAGCTGCTTCAGGCTCCTACAGCTGTGACTTCCCTGCTCTGATAGACTGTAACCTGTAATAGACAAGCTCCCTCAACTGGTTTTGTCAGGGTATGCTCCTACAGCACCAGAAAAAAAAACTAAGACAAAATCTAAGTCACACATTTACAGACTCCCATCTCAGCCACAGTCAACTATTCATGTCACCTTGGAAATATTATGTGACCTTCTCTGATGTGGTTTCCATATCTGTCAAATGAAGGTATTGGATACTAGGTTCTCTCTTTGTTTCTGGGGCTGGGAGTCACAACATAATGATCTGAGGGAAACAACCTCTAAATGGATAACTAAAAACTGAACATGGTCATCATTACTTTTTCCTCCTCAACTAGTGGGATTAAAGACTACTATATTAAGTCCTGAGTATTTGGCATTTCTCAGGGAGTCCATGCTACTGTTTCCAAAGCTATTTAGGGAATCTCGTATGCTTGTATAGTACCTTATACCTCCCTATTATGATACTTACCACATTCCATTTTAATCGCTTACTGAATAATCTCCCTTCCTAACATTGTAAAGATGGCAGATATGTGTGTTTTAATTAGACTTCAAATGCAACTCTACAAAATTCCTGATGCACTGATTAGATGAATCAAATGCATTATGTACCATCATTTCAAATATCATAATTCTCATAAGAAAACAAATTTTCCAGCTCTAGTCACAAAGCCAATGGTAAATAAACAGTATATCCACTGAAGGCAATATCTGTGTTGCATTCATTCCTGTCCTCTATTGCAAGAGTTCTAAAACTTGAACACAGATGAGCATTATATAGAAAGTTGGTCAAAATTCAGGTAGCTGGGCTTCACACCCAAAGTTTCTGCTTCAGAAGATCTGAAGTAGAAAGAGCCAATAAAACCTTCCTCTATAAAACAAGTTTCCCAGGTGATATTAATGTTACTGGGCCAAGGATCACAATTTGACAAACAGTGCTCTGCAGTTTCCATAAGAGTGTTTTTTTGTGTGCAAGAAATGAAAGTCTTCTAAAACAGACTAACTCGGGGCTGGAGAGATGGCTCAGTGGTTAAGAGCACTGACTGCTCTTCCAGAGGTCCTGAGTTCAATTCCCAGCAAGCACATGGTGGCTCACAGTCATCTATAATGAGACCTGGAGCCCCCTTCTGGCTTGTGGGGCACACATGGAAGGAATGCTGTACACATAATCAATAAAAAAATATTTAAAAAATATTTAAAAAAACAGGCTAACTCTCTTTTCTTTATACAAAAATAACACATGACTAGATTCTTTGCACATTAGCAGCAGAAGTTAAAACTCACATAGTTATTGAATCTTTTCTTCAGATAACCAAGACACATACCTGTGCAATTTACTTGTGCTTGAACTGGCACAACTGCCTTCCTGACCTCCACCATGCCACTGGCTTGTTCTACCTCTTTTTCCACTTCCACAGCATTTAGAAGAGCTTCCTCTTGCTTTCTGAAACAGCCACTATAAAAATAGGTGAGCTTTTGCATAGTCTAAGAATAGCAAAACTTAAAATGTTCTATCTTTGATATTGTGCTAACAATAAGCTGAAAATCCATTCCAATAGCTGATGTGCCCTTATTTAAATCTGTATAATAGTTAATATAAAGGGACTGGAGAGATGACTCAGAGGTTAAGAGCATTGCCTGCTCTTCCAAAGGTCCTGAGTTCAATTCCCAGCAACCACATGGTGGCTCACAATCATCTGTAATGAGGTCTGGTGCCCTCTTCTGGCCTGCAGGCATACACACAGACAGAATATTGTATACATAATAAATAATAAATAATTATTTAAAAAAATAGTTAATATGAAACAGTTTCAAGAGCTTAAGTCCGAGGATTCAAGCCAGCACACCCCTTTTATGCAAACTTAATATTGCTCCCTTCTAGACCCAAGACATGTATGTGTACAACCTGTATTGCTCTGAAGACTTTTCACCTTAATGTGTTGATGTAGAATGCCCTTCTGCATGCTATAAATATGTTTTATTACCATTGGTTAATAAAGAAACCACTTTGACCTATGGCAGAGCAGAATATAGCTAAGCGGTAAATGCAAACAGATATGGGAAGACAGAAGGTGGAGTCAGGGAGATGCCATCAGCTGCCAGGAAAGCAAGATGTGATGCAATAAACCACAAGCCTTGTGGTAAAATATAGAATAATAGAAATGGGTTCATTTAAATTGTAAAAGCTAGTTAATAATAAGTGTAAGCTAAAAGGCCAAACAGTTTGTAATTAACATTAAGCCTCTGAGTGGTTATTCAGGAAGTGGTGGATGGGTGAGAAACTTCCAGTTAGAATGTGTCAGGGAAGGTACATATAAATGTGTAGAAGAAATTTTATCCTGATTCACACTGTTAAGTTTTCACCAGCTACTGTTATAGCAACTACTTCATACAACAAAGTCTTCACTTCTTTGTTTGAATGTTACAAACCCTGCCAGAAAAAGACCTTCAGAGTTGATCCCGATGAAAATCATGTGCTGTCTTAGATTTTAGAGACCTCTGGGAGATAAGTGTGACAAAGGAAAAAAAAAAAACAGTATATGTCATAAGTCATTCAGTGTTTCCAGTACCATGCAACTAGTGTAGCTCAGTGAACTCTATTGGGGCTTTGAAAATGGCATGGAAAAATCTCTGTGTACACTCAGATGCAAAGAGTGCATCTTTTAAGATTGTTAAAGGCAGAATGTCAAGATAGAGTTTTAAAGCAGCAGTGCTGAGCTGCCATGTACGACTGCTACCATCCTGAAGAACTTCAGGCTAACTTCATTACCTAGATCTATGCCTTAACTATGTACAAAACATATCTAAATCACCACCAAGGGTTCTTCATTAAGGGTCTACACAATGTGAACCCGTCCTTTATTGTTGTTCTCATACTGTTTCCCCCAAAGACTGAAAGTAAGTAAAAGTACCCCAAAGAGAAAGTCATGAATGAGAACCACTACATTGACCGTCAGTCTGAATGCAATTCTTTGCAAGATCAATTGCAAAGTACTTAAGTATTTTAAAAACAGCTTTGCAATTTATAGGGACTGTTGGTCACTGTGTGACCCCAATACATGGCTTAGATATGAGAAAACAGTGTGGTTTCATTATCTGATGAGTTATTGCTAACACAGAAGGCTGGTTGTTATAATTACATTGTTTGGTATGTCTGGGAGCTGAAGAGATTGCTCAGTGATTGGGAACAACTGAGACCTTTGCAGAGGACCCAGGTTCAGTTCCCAGCATCTACACAGTGGTTAGGAACTGTCTGTAACTTCAGTGTCCAACACCTCTTTGAACCTCCCTGAACCAGGCAAACATGTAGTACACGTTTGTACATGTAGGCAAAATATTCATACACATAAAGAGAAATAAATAAATCTAAATAAATTTAAAGAATTATGTTTCTGAGTGAAATGATCACTTACTCAGCTTTCTGCTGCTGAAGAGAAAGTTCATCCGGTTCTCTTGGCTGATCCAGCTGTTTCATAGCTGAACAATAAAACATCTGTCATTTATAAGTCATGTTTCTTACTTCTTTGAAGGATGACTTTCACATACACCACAGAGGGTGGAGAAAAGAGAGAGTGAGATAGAGAGAGAGATGGAAACACACACACACACACACACACACACACACACCCCATTTTCAGGTATTTGAAATGACCAACAAACAAGAAGACCCATCTAAAGTTATCTGTAGAGTCCAAACTGTGTATTTGGATACAAACTAAGGGTTGGGGTGACACGCAGTTTCTACACAAGAATGAGGGCCTGCATTTGAATCTAAAACTGACAAAAAAAACCAGGGCTCAATAGCACATGTCTGTTGATGTGGGATGCCTTTTTGTATGCTGTGAATATATTTTATTACTATTGGTTAATAAAGAAGTTCATTTGGCCAACAGCCAGGCAAAATAGAGCCAGGCAGGAAATCCAAGCAAACATAAAGAGAGATGAAGGGCAGAGTCAGGGAGTAGCCAGCTGACACCCGGGAAGCAAGATGTGAGGTAACAAGCCACAAGCTTTGTTGTAAAATATAGAATAATAGAAATGGGGTTAATTTAAGTTGTAAGAGCTAGTTAATAATAAGCCTGAGATAATAGGCCAAACAGTTTGTAATTAATATTAAGTCTCAGTGGTAATTCGGGAACTGGCAGACAGACGAGAAACCTCTAGTTACAATCTTTACTCCCAGCACTCACAGGAGGTAAAGTCAGAATTCCCAGAAGCTCCAGGGCTAGTTAGCCTGTCTTATGCAGCAGTGAAGAATGAAAAAAGGGCCTGCCTCAAAGAAGGTATAATGCAACTGGTCTTCTGATCTCCACATGCTCGCTGTGGCACAAGCACATATGAGCATGCATGCACACACACACACACACATCTATAGTCACATACACAAGTATGTACATCTACATCATACACACAAGCAGAGACTCTTTTTTGTAAGTACAAGTTCAAAAGTGTAAACAATTCTTCATCCCAAACTTTCTGAATACTGGTTCTGTGAGGTTCGCCCCCCAGGAAGGACTAGAATTTGATACTTTGTTGATCTCAACTGGTTCTGAAGCACCGAGGCTCACCTTAGAATTTAAATTAGCAGTTGGTTTTTTTTTAAAAAAGCTTTCTGAATCTCAATGTCACATTTTTATTGTAGTTTAATAAATCCCTTCATTATTATCAAATTATCAGCCCCATTCCCAGGAAGCCTTTTCATAAAACCCAACTAGTGGGTTGTCATTGTGCTTCTCCATATAAAGCATGGATGCCTGAAATTACCAGTCAAAGGGAATGATACAGATGGAAAAGGAGGTAGAGAGGAACTGGGAGGAGTAGAGGGAGGCAAAATTATAATCAAGATATATTATTTGAGAAAAAAATTCTATTTTCAATTTAAAAAAATGAAATTACCAGTCAAACATTCTTGCTGCTTCAACAAAATGTTCCTTATTTCTTTTAACCATAGCATCTTCACATCAATATTTGGAGCCTAAAAATTAAAGCAGAAGGAAAAAGTATGTTTCCTTTTGAAAAGAATGCTTTTATAATAATGAAAAATGTAATCAAACATGAGTCACTCTATGAAATACCAGGTTCAAATTCTAGCCTTTTAATTCTTAAAGCATTTAAGAGGCTAATCACTAGCAATCTGATTAGATATTATAATCAAAATCATTTTAAAATTGCCGTAAAGAGTATAACAACTGGAAGAAATACAGAGATCCTTTTAGCTACTGTTGCTTCACTGGAGGATCACACACACACACACACACACACACACACACACACACCACTTTGTTTCAATTTTAGTAAAAACAAAGCAAGCTCTAGTATTTCCACAGTTAAAATTAATTACATAATCATCTTAAAAACTTATACTTACATGATGGATTTCCTAAATGCTTTCCATTGCTTATAAGGTAAGTCTGTTATATGGTACCAACTCATAACTTAAAGTAAACCAAGAAGGGTTTATGTACTGCTATCAATACAAAATAAAAAAAAACTGAACATCTGTAACAGCTAATAACATATGGGTCAGCCAGAAGTCGTGACACAGAGACTTAGTGAAAATAACACAGCACTATCTTGAAACGTCTTGAATCTACTCCCCTCCCTGAAACAGGGTGGGCCTCAGAGCACACCTGCCCAGGATCTTGACTATGTTCTGTCAAAAGAAGGAATACATCCAAACAGTCATATCTTTAAGTCTTTAAATGCTGAAGACAAAGGAAACTAAAGGCTAACTGTAGAAACTTCATAGATGCAAAAAAAGTAGCAGCCAAACTTGAAAGGAATGAGATTTTATAAAAGGTAACCAACATTTTTTTACCAACTCAGATTTTTAAATCATTTTTAAACTATCTATTTATTTACTTTTATTCAGTATGTATGGATGGCTTGCCTACATGTATGTTAAGCACACCACATGCTTTCAATGCGCATGGAAACCAGAAGGAGTCAAATTCCCATAGATTGTTGTAAGCCACCTATCATGAGTGTTGGAAATCAAACAGAGTCTTTTTTTTTCTTAATGTTGGTGCTGGAGAGATGATGGCTCTGTGGTTAATAACATGCACTGTTATTGCAGAGGACCAGACCTTGATACCCAGCACCCATTCGGGAGAGCAAACAATGAACTCCAGCTCCAGCGGATCCATTGCTCTCTACTGGCTTCATAAAGCACTGCACAAATTCCCAGAGACACAGACAGACAGAGAGACATACACACACACCTAAAATCCTTAGCATGAATGTTATGAAGGTAACCAACTGCTTCCAGTTAGATTTAAGGTCTGCTCCACTAGAGAAAACACAGGCCTAGTATTGCAAAGTTGGTTAAGAACCTTGGTTGGTGAGCTCATAAGCTCCACATGTGAACCTACTAATATTATTTTGTTAAATAGGTATAATATCAAACTGCCCTCTAAATTAACATCTACCTGAGCAAAACTCTCCGAGCTCATCAGACAAGTTGATTTGTGCAGTGTTTGAAGGTTAACAAAGAAGCTTAGAACTGTTTAAAGTGTAGAGACTGAGTATGGCGTGTTCATTCATAAATGGCCTCTTCTATATCACACCCCACACACACGAGGCTCAGAAACCACCACAGGAGAAGGGACAGAAAAAAATTTAAGATCCCGAGGTTTGGGAGGATGAAAGCAAACCAGTATCTTCTGGATGTGATGGGACCACTGCATTCAGGAAATGATGGCAGCTATGGATGCCCAGGACCTCAAAAGACCAAGTCAATCAACATTCCAATGCAAAGTGCTGGGAAGGAAGGGATTCAGAGTTCCCACTACTAAGTAAAGAGTAATAGATGATTCCTGGCTTCTGGGGTAAAGAGAATCAGTTTTCTTTAATAGTGAGACTCCTGGTAGGTTTAACATTCTCCAGTGGATTCTTCTACACCCAGAAATATATAGATAATACAAATTGAAGATGATGGGTTAATAAATTAAATAAAAATTTGTCATTTTAATGATGATTATGGTTTTCAGAAGAATAACCAACCTGAACAATGTAAATTTCTTCCTTCTCACCATACCATATTTCAAATTTGCGGTTATCGCCTTTCACGTGTTCTGTGATTCCAACTTCTTCCATCTACAACAAACCAAATTGTTCTTGATCATTGGATTACAAATATGAAATTACATTCATCATGCTCTGTCATAATCTCTGGGAACAGAATGTCTCACGTAAGCAAAATACACATTTTATTTTCAATGAGCAGAAAAAGGGAAGTATAGCCATAGGCATGATGACTTAAGAGTTTTTGTGGAAATATGCACTCAGAGTTCAGATACCACGTTCCATTCCAGTGGTTGATATAAATGGCATACATCTGAATATCCAGGTTGCCTATCAAAGGTTGAATTCTGCTGGAAATTAACTATACGGTAGTAAAACAGAATTTTGTCAAATGTATAAGTTCTTAAACATCAATGGGAAAAGCCACTTGAACTTGATTAATTTCAATGTTTTTTGAAGTAATTATTGACCAGATCAATTTGATCTGACAAGTTTATCCCCTATGACTTATAAGTAGTAAATTTATGGGTTAGGGAAGAGTTCCCAGAAGTTTTTCAATTCCCCCCAATCCCTCAGCCTCTAGAGCAAAGAAAATACCTAACTTTAATGAGAACCTTCTCAGGGCAGTAAAACTTGTGTTGTATGAAGTATTTCTTCCCACCACTCTCTTCTCACCGTGGTTTCTGCTTTGCAAAATTGTCTTTCACCATTTGCTGCTAACCTTGCCTAATTCCATGGGGGACAACTTCAGTCCCTTGTGTAACTTTTCTTTAAGCTGTTCTCTGCCTTTCCTCTTTTCTTTCAACTCCTTCCTAATTGTCTACAGGAATATCACACTCCATTACACTTACGAACCCCCGAAATGACCCAAATTAAAACTAATAAACATTAAGGGTAGTGCTCATAAGATTCCTGCATTAAGGTAAAGAAAAACAATTATACTTAGAAATGAAACTTAGCTATGTTAGTTTAAGAGCCTCTGACATCCACCTTGAATACAGTCTGAAGTGACTTTCAAATGCTCCCAAATATAGCCTTCCTGCGCCACTCTATCTCTGCTTGAATATTTCAATATAAGACTACTTGGATCCTACTGTTTTCCAAAAGTAATTATGTTTCATCACATAACTGTCTCAATGGGATGATAGGTAGCAGACAAACAGACTTCCAAGTCAAAGAAGGACAGACTGGACCTCCATCCATCACTAACATTCATCAGCTATGTGTCTTAATGTAAGGTGATGAATTTTCCCCAAATTCCCTTATTTCAACCATAAATTTGGTAAATCGTGTATTTCATAGAGTTGATACAGAGATATAAGTAGTAAATGGTATGTTCAGATCATATAAGTTTTTGTGGAGGTATGTGTATGTGGGTATGCATGTTCACATGTACATGGGTACATATATACATGTGTGAAGGTCAGAGATTCATGTCAGGCATCTTCCACAATAGGTCTTCACCTTATTTATTGATGCAGGGTCTCCTGTTGAACCCAGAGTTCATCTGATCCAGCTAATCTAACTAGCCAGCTTGCTTTGAAGATCCCCTAGAGCTGAGATTACAAGGGGCAGCCACACCCACTAGTGATCTGAACTCCAGTCCTTATACTTGAATGACAAGCTCTTTACCCTTCCCTCCAGTTCATAATGAGCTTTGAATGTATGGCTTTGCCTCCCGTCCTTTTCTGTATTTGAATGGCAACTGTTTTACTATTTCCCATTGCTAAAATATATAACACATCATTATTTAATACATGTGGGTATTTCCTAGGAAATCAAACCATTTTTATCTGACACAAAGTTAGCACTGTTGTGTGGTCAGTGTAAACAACAGTTGATGATAATAAGCAAGTACACAATCTGATGGATCTGAGGAAGCGATGTCTCTAGCTGGTTACCTGTGACCTGACATATGGCTTTTCTGTGGATGTTAAGTGCTTGCATTAGAGTACATAGTCATTAGAAAGACATGAGCAGGCTGTGTGGTTCCAGCTTGCTGTTATGCAGTCAAAAAAATACATTTCAGGGGAGAGAAGTTGTTCAGCTATGCTTAGCAGCACACTGACCAGTAATGATGGACTCTCATGAGAAACAGCTGGAAGAAGCAAGCATAATGAGACCTAAGAAACAGTCTAACTTCTGTCTTTCTTAGTCTACAGCATCACCCTTTTCCCAGGAATCTTTATCTAAAATTTTGCAAGCACCACTGTCTAGTTCTTTTCAATTAAAGATACAATTATATCAAAAAACAAAAGAAAAACCGGACAGATTTTCTTCTTTTAAATGTCAAGTACTATTTATTTTCTATATCTGGTAAGTCACTAAGCCCTTATGTCTGCCTTCTATTGAAATGGTTCTTGCATCAATTCCTCCTTCTGTTTCCATGGCAACTATTGTAACCCTTCTGGCTTCATTACCTCATTAGTCCTTCTCTACTTTAATTATCTTCAGAAACACTCTGTTGTTGACATGTCTATCATTGTATCAAATTTCAAATAAAATAGGAAATCAATGCAAATAAGAAATTCTACAGTAAGTAGTTACTAGATGACCTCACAAACAGAATGTGAATCAAATTGGTTTATGTAAAACATGCCTACAAAGGAGAAGTACCTTTTCAAGGAGTACACATACAGATGGCAAGATCTAAAACCTGTCACAAAGATATCACAATGTCTTGGTTCTCAATTGATGTTTATTAAAGTCATAAGTACATCAGATATGTAGACTTAGAGGTGGACTATATTAAAAGAGTAATTGAGTACTTGTGATAAAAATGACTGGAGTTTTGAAGAATCTGTGGAGCTACTATGGATTCAAAATTGAATACAAAACGGACAATGGGAACCATTCAGGGAGGTGATTCTAGGTAGGAATTTTGCGAGATACAGCTAGAGGCAGCTGGCCAGTCTGAGGAAAAACAAAAGTAGGTAGGGCCTGCTTATCAGGTGGCCTCCTTAAACTATGTCCTCAAGCCCGTGACAGGTCCAGCCACATAATCATTGCTAAATTTCCATCAGCCCTCAACTATACTGGGAAAGCTAGCTGAGAAAGAAAACTCAGAAAAAATGATTCAAAGGACCGTGACTAGAGAATTGAAGGTAAGAATGTTCCATCTTCCAATCATTCCATAAAAAAAATGTGTTGCTTTTAGAATTTAAACTTGAAAGATAAAATTCATTAGGTTTGAAATAACCAAATTTGCCAGCTAGTGCCTCAGGTTGATTAGAAGTACTCCTGGGCCTCTAATGACTTTCACAAACAACCGTCTCTTAATTTTAACACAAGACTAATATACAGTAGTAGCTTGGGTTCTAGACAGAATAAAATAGTTTCAAAGAATAGCACAGAATACATATATTAGGAAGGTCCAACTATAGGTAGGGTAATCAGAAAGCATGGGGCTAAGGAATGGAGGAGGAACAAAGACAGGAGGGTAGGAATACGCTAAGCACAAGAGTTCTCCATTTTTTAAACCGCAGTGAGGAGGAGGAGGAAACCCTTTGCTTCTTGTTTCTCTTATAACAAAAGCTTCTTGGTAATGAGACCAAGAATTTTATCCGGGACGATTGGAAGAGTGCTCACAGGTGAGCTGGGGCAGAAAGGGCACCTTGGAGAACATCTGAGACGACAGTGATGGGGAGTTGAATCAAAGCTGTAAACCTGGACCCAACCCCTTGTCCTGATTTCAGACTCCCAAAACCCATGTTCAGCTAGATGTGGTAGTACATGCTTGTGATCCTAGTGTTCCCATGGCAAGAAAGGAGGTGGAGACAGGAGACCCCCTGGAAGCTCTTGGGATAACAAGACTGGTGTGCATAGCAATGATCAACAGGACACCTTGCTTCAAACAAGGTAGAAGGGGAGGACCAACACCTGAAATGTCCTATGACCTCCAAAGTTGACCTGTAGTATATACGTGTCTGAGCTCACACATGAACACACATGCATTGTTTTGTTTTGTTGATTCTTTTAACCAGAGGGATGAGTAACTAAAGTATAAAACCTACTTAAGTTAAAAAAAAGTATTCAAGGTAGAATACATATAAGATAATATTGTATCACACAATGTGAGCTTTCTTACTTTTAGGCAGTGCTTAAAACTGTATGATGGATATCTATCAGCGCCTTCTCCAGATTCAACACGCCTCTTACAAAACATAACAGCTTTTTCATACAAGAAAAGGTGTCGCTGCATGGGCTTGAATCTTGCAAAATCCTTCATTTTTGTAGCACCTTTCCGGTGTCCTAGCCAAACACTGAATGCACCTTGCAGAATCATCTTGCCCAGCTCATTCAGATTCCCCTAGAATGAAAAATCAAAACCAATTCAGAGAAAACAGAGCTATATCCATGTGTCAGACATTGACATCGTAGTTTTTAGTTTGACCTACTACTACTCTGAAGCATGTTTTGCCTACTTTATTTCTTTCAGATCATTACATAAGACTTTATTGCTGAGGACTTGTCACATTTGGTCACAGGAAATGAATAAATCAATCTCATACTGCCCTGCATGGTTTACCCCTTACAGGCTAACTTTCATAGTACTAAAAGGTACTATGCAGGCTGCTAGGTGGGTAGTCAGTTATCATTCACCAGCAGTGAACCAGGTGAGACACAATAATGGCCAAGATGGCAGAATAGTGGAATGAATTTCTTTTTTGTCCTTTATTTTCTTTTATTGAAAATAGAATTTTTCATACAATATATTCTGATTACAGTTACCACTCCCCAAATTCCTCTTAGGTCCTCCCCCACCTTCCCTCTCAGCCAGATTCACACCCTCGCTGTTACTCCTTAGAAAACAAACCAATAATAAAATAAAATGAACTAAAATACAATAAACAAACTGGAATAGGATGAACCAAACAGGAGAAAAAGAACCAAAGAAAAAACACAAGAAACACATGTAGATGCAGAGACATACATGTTTGTACACACAGGAATCCCATAAAAATACAAAACCAGGAGCCATAATACATACACAAAGAACTTGTAAAATTTTTTTAAAATGTCTTGACAAAACATTACGGGACAAAGAACCTCCATCTGCCCCCTATGGCAATCAGGAAAGAGAACTCTGTACCTCCCCAGGGCAAAACATTAGAGCTGGCCTGATGCTGTGAGTGTGAGGACCTGGATCTGAAGGCCTCATAGCAAGAACTGACCTGGTTCCTTATTGTAAGCTGTATTAGGTAAGCTAACCAAGGCAGAGCTGGAGGGCTTGCTCTGGTAGCGATGATGAGGGAAAGCTAGCAGACTGACCACTCCAGCCATCACCCAGGCAGGCCCAGAACCAGGTCTATGAGTTGGCCCATCCCAGCAACCACCAAATCTATGAACTGTTGGAGCATGTGAAAGGGATGAACCTACAGATCCAAAACAGCAGGATCCCTACACACAGGACAACAAGAAGATACCCAAGAAGAGCCCTCGTGAAAGCCATTATCAGTGGTGTAGCAGAAGCCAGAGGCCTCTAGCCAGACCAATGCTCACAGCAATGAACACTCGCAAGTAAAGATGAACAGACTAAAGGGCACACTGTGTGACTCAACGGGCCACACTCAGCTTCTCTTGTTGTTGCTATTTTTATTTTTGTTTTTTTATTTGTTTGGTTTTTCTTTTAAATTTGGTTTTGTTTGGGGGGGAGACTACAAGGGCAGAGGGAGGACTCAAGGGGACAGGGAGAGAAGTTGGATCAGAATGATGTGAAATCCACAAAGAATCAAGAGAAGTAAAATCTTTTTAAAGTTTTGAAACTGTTCACTGTAACCATAACTTTTTACTTTGAAACACACAATGTCTCGCATACATTTAAAATTGCTATGAAGGTGCCACATAAAAGAACCTTCCTTTTTGTTGGCTTCTTGGCATTTGCCATGTGGACTTATTTCAGCTGGAGCAATGCTCATATCTCTTCCTCACTCTTGATTAATTACCTCACTCATGATAAATTACCACCTTCTGGATGGAGCAGTTCTGGGGAAAGGTGGCAAGCCCTGAAGAGTTGAGCCTTTTTATTCATATCTACTCCAGACTAGGGAAAGTATCAGTTCTGGGACAGAGAGTCTGCTTAACTGACTCAAGGTTCAGACTTGAAGGCAGGCTGCTACAGACCAGGAAAATGTCATCGGATTCCATCTGGCTGCTCATCTGCACCCAATCCTCTACTTAGCTTACCAATAATAATGCTTATACTTTTATTTTCATTTGTCTGCCTCCTATGTTATTTTCCAATTGAATCCAAAAGATGAAAAGGGATTCTGGTAAGTCTACCCTCTAAAACTCCAACAATCATTAAAGTTTACTTACAATATAGCCATTGATTGCAATCTGATGCATGGAGTCATTTACTGACTTCAATAAGTCCAGCATTGTATCAAGTGCCTCCTTTAACTGAGTTGTTCCTTCTCCTTCTTTGCTGTACTTTAAGAGCTCCTATGAGTAGAAGTCAAGAATTAAACAATATTAGTCACATATTAAAAACTGCTGGAAAAATTAATTATTTGAAGCTAATATGCGTTTGAGCAGTAATCCAAAGATAATGTCATTTTTAGAGTAATTTCTTTCATATTGTCTGTCACATTAACATATTTAATAACAATGTCAAAATTGGAGAAGTAGAATAATAATTCTAGAGTATAAAACAAAGAGCATCCATTCAATGCTTTTATAGCTAAAAAACAATAGTTATAAAAACACATCAGAGATTACACAGAAGATTCTTCTTCTACATACAATGATTTGTCACTCATAATGCATATAGCATCATGAAACACATTTTAAAAGAATCTATGTTGGATTTGTACATAACATAGATTCTACTAATCCTTTTCCATTAAACTAGGGGAGTGTCATTTGCATTTTTCATTGAAAGGGCCAATAGGAAACATAATCTTAAAATTAATAAGTATATATTTCGACCTTAATATAAAAATTCTTTAAAAAATATTATGCTTAAAAATGAATAGAACTTATATGGAGGATGAAGATCTCCTTATACTCATAACTTAATCACCTTGTGATTGTCATTTGTATATCACCATGAAAAAGCACAATGCAAAAAAACTTAAACCTAAAGTTCATCTTCTTCAACCTATTGCTAATGCTTCCTAGTCAATCACTTCCTCACAGATGACTACTAGATTTGATTCCAAAAATAACGTTAAGGAGGGTCTAAAAAGATAGCTCACTGATTAAAAGCACTGGTTGCTCTTGCAGAAGACCTGGGTTCTATAACTCTGATGCCATCTTCTGACCTCCATGGGTACCAGGCAGACACATGCTACACATATAGACATGCAAAGTACTCATACACATAAAATAATTTTTAAAGTAAAGAAACAAGAAAATGCTTCGTGTAATTACCTTTAAAAGCAGCTGATACTTAGTGATTCGTTGCACTGGTTTGAGCAAATAGGAATCCAGACCAAGTCGATGTTTTAATTTTCTTTGACATTCCTGTCATTAAAAGATAATGATCAGCTGGGTACAGTATTAGACACCTTTAATCCCAGCACTCCAGAGCCAAAGGCAGGCAGATTTCTGTGAGTTTGACGCTAGCCTGGTCTACATAGCAAGCTCCAAGTCAGCCAAAACTGCACAATAGAGAGACCCTGTCTCAAAAAAAGATAATCAATAAATGTTAAATTAAGAAATGTACAGGGGTACAAGTGACAAGCAAAATATGTATGAAAATTCCATATAGAATGCTTACTTTGTAAGCTTATTTTTAAAGTAATTTATTTTTAAAAGACATATACCAAGGCTGGAGAGATGGGTCAGAAGTAAAAGCACTTGCTGCTCTTCCGGAAGACCAAGGTTCAGTTCCCTGCACCTGTGCCCACACAGTGATTCACAATCATTCATAACACTAGTTCTAAGGAATCCAATACATGGGGTGTGTGTGTGTGTGTGTGTGTGTGTGTGTGTGTGTGTGTGTGTGTGTGTGCTGGCAAAATACTCATACATAAAATCTTTAAATAATTTTAATGAATAAAAATACATGTTCCTGAAAAATGTCAAATGTCAAGTGCTCATTGATTAGACCCCAGACCTGAATCTTTCTTACCTCTTAAGGAACATGTATCAGGAAAATCACAAAGGAGGGAGAGGGGTAAGGGGAAGAGGAATGGAAGGAAGGAAGGATGGATGGATGGATGGATGGATGGATGGATGGATGGATGGATGGATGGATGGATTTGGAAGGTAGAAATTTACAGCATTTCAAAGTCTAAAAGATTGCCACGTATAAATTCACATTGGTATAAACTGCATCAAATTTGAGAAAGCAGGAAATGACAATAGGTTAGAGTGATTAAAACATTCTTCAATCTGTCCAGGAAAATTAACAAAAGACCACTCTACAGGCAAAGGCCCAGAAAAGAAATAGGTTGTGCTAAATATAAATCTGACTGAGTATGAGAACAGAATATTTTTTAAGATCACAAGAAAAATACAGACTTCATCAACTGGTGCTGTATTTCATTCAGTAACTGGCTTGCTGCCACTATAAATATAGGGGCTATGACATTGGGTCCTGGGAACAGTGTAGGGACCATAGTTAATAGAAGATGGGGGTAGTTAGGATGAATGTGCATATGGAAAATGCATAACACAAAATGACTGGAAAGAGGATATACCTGAATAAGATACAGGGCCTTCCACTAAATGTGAAAAAAATTCTGCACATAATTTAATTCAAATAAAAATAAACAATCAACAATTAAATTTGATAGTCTGATACAAGCCATTTTGTTCTCCTTCATAAAACCCAATTAGAAAAATAAAATACATTTTTCTCAAGACAAAAATATAATTGAGGAGGAAGAAAATATTTGCAAAACTTAAAAACTAAAAGTCAATTCACACATGGTATATGATTACAAGTTGAGAGAACTGTTTGCTAAAAACAGTTCAGATTTTATGTTAGAGAATGCCCCACGCCTTTCTCAAAGAAATACCCGTAACTCAGAAAGAGAAAAGTTCAAAATATTTATGAAATCAATACCAACAACTGTTGATGAGGATATGGGCCAATTAGAACTCATTCACTCTAGTAGTAATGGAAAACTGCAGTCACTATAGAAAACAGTCCAACAGCTAGCCATTAAACATAAGCAAGCATGATGGAGCAGATGGATCTTTGTGAGTTCAAGGCTGAGCTGGTCTATATAATGCATTCCAGGCTAGTTAAGGATATATGGTAAGATCCTGTTCTACATTAAATATATAAAATATGACCCATTTTATTCCTAGGTGTATAGCCAAAAGAAAAAGAAATTGCTTAAATTTTTTTGTGTTGTCTGTTTGGTTACATTAGAGACAAGTATGTGAAATTCTGATTCAAAGTTTCTTGTGTGTTTCTGGATTTATTGAGAATGGTCCTCAGTCTTAGATTGCTTGTCTCTGGTTGTTTTCCTTTGGTGTGCTCGTGAGAGATGGGGGAAGTTTGCTAATACATCTATCATTATACTCTCTCTTCCGCTGCTTAGATCTTCCAGACTGCTGTTCAATAGCAACATAACTGGCTGATACTATGCTTGAGGAAAAGGACATGCGTTTCAAAGTTGTTAGATATATAGATATGGTGGATCACAACCACTTCTAATTCCAGTCCTAAAGAATATGAAACCCTCTTCTGGCCTTTGAGGGAACTACATACACCTGGTATACAAACATGCATCCAGAAAAAACACATACATTATAAAATAATAAAATTTGTAAAATATTACATAATAGCTATGTTAAACAAAAGATAGAAATAAGTCAAATGCCCATCAACTAATGACCATATGAATCAACTGTGATCTATCTATTCAGCAAAATATTCAAGCAGAAAAAGAATAAAGTATTACTATAAACAATAGTATTAAGCTCAAAAATATTACGTAAAATAAGTGATTCCCAACCTGTGGGTCACGACCCTGTTGTAACTTGAATATCAGATATTTTACATTACAACTCATAATAGTAGCAAAATTACAGTTATAAAGTAGCAACAAAAATAATTTTATGGTTGGAGGTCATCACAACAAGAGGAACTGTATAAAGGATCACAATAGTGGGAAGCATGAGAACCACTGTGTTAAGAAGCCACATTAAAAACACCATAAAGTGTATGCTTTTGCTTATATAAAATTCTCAGAATAGGTTAACCCACTAAAACAGAAATCTGATTAATAGCTAAATGTTAGTTGAATGGATTAGGAGAATTCAGTAAGTCAGTGAATAAGAGGAAATGATAAAAAGGTAAAAGGTTGCATAAATCCTTTTTTTCTTTTCTTTTTTGTTGGGGGGAGTCTTTGTCCATTAGTTGGTTGCTATTATTTGTTTGTTTTCAAAGGTAGGATCACTATGTAGCCCAGGCATGACTCTAACTCAAGATCCTTCTTCCTCAGGCCTGTCAGTGCTAGAATAACAAGTGTATGCTACCACAACTGACTTTAGGGAGGGAACTTTTAATAGTAAAAATGTTCTGAAATTGATTGGGTTTATAACCATTTTACAATCTAATGAATATAGTTAAACTACTGAATTATATACTTTAGAGCAGTGGTTCTCATGACCATTGGAAAACACAAACATTTACATTATATTTCATAATAGTAGCAAAATTATACTTAGGAAATAGCAACAAAAATTTGGTTGGGAATCACCACAACATGAGGAATTGTATTAATGGGTCTCAGCATTAGAAAGGTTAAGAACCACTGCTTTAAAGGAATAGATTTTATAGTATCTTATTTGCATAATAATAAATCTGTTACCAAAACCAATATTGAATGCACATTAAAATCTAAAACAAAAAATGTAAACGCTGCACTAAGCACAACTGAGTCACACACACTCACGTGTATACACACACACACACACACACACACACACACAGCAGAAGAATGATTCTCTATAAAAGTAAACCAGAGGGCCTCTGGACCAAGGTATATAAGGTTCAACTAATTTGAGAATACTATATTGAAAACAAGGAAAAGGGCCGGATATCTTAAACATCTAACAACTTTGAAACTCACGTCCTTTTCCTCAAGCACAATTGCAGCCAATTATGTTTCTATTGAGCAGCAGTCTGGAAGATCTAAGCAGCGGAAGAGAAAGTACCTAAAGATAGATGAATTAGCAAAATCCCCCATCTCTCACGAGCACACCAAAGGAAACAACCAGAGACAAGCAATCCAAGACTGAGAACCATTCTCAGTAAACCCAGAAACACACAAGAAACTCTGAATCAGATTTCATGTGCTTGTCCCTAATGTAAATAAACAATTAACAGACATTTCAGGAAAGCATCCAAGGTGAGTAGCAAGTGCTAATAAAGAAAAAGAACAGAAAAGCGATTTAAATGCAGTTGGAACCATGCAGAGAGACTAAAACTACTTTAAAAGGAAAATCTATTATTATGTTCCTAAAGATAATTGAAAAGAAGTTCTGGAACAAAAATCAGGATTCCATTAAAAGTAACTCAGAGAGTACAGAAAACTGTTAACTGACAGACATACCAGTGTGAAAACTGATATGGAAGTTCCTGAAATAACTAAAACGATGGCCAGGATGATAGCTCAGTTGCTAATATACCTGCAAGCATGAAGAACTGAATTAGATGCCCCACCACCTGCATTTAAAAAATTTAAAAACAAAGATGTGCTTAGTGACTTGCAGCATTTATGTACTTATAATCACAACACTAAAGAGGAGATAGGCATATCTCTGATGTTTGGTGGCCAGTTAGCCCACCGTACTTAGCTTGTTCCAAACCAATCAGAGACTCTGTCTCAAAAAACCAAGGATAAATCTCACCCAAGGCACATATGCGTATGTGTATGTACGCATGCATGTGCACACACAGGCATACGTGCATCTGCAAACACATGAACATACACACATGATGTGGGAGTGATTTCTTATTAATAAAGAAACTGCCTAGACCCATTTGATAGGCCAACCCTTAGGTAGGCGGAGTAAACAGAACGGAATGCTGGGAGAAAGAAGCTGAGTCGGGGAGTCGCCATGATTCTCCCACTCCAGACAGATGCAGGTTAAGATCATTCCTGGTAAGCCAGCTCTTGGGCTACACAGATTAATAGAAATGGGTTAGATCAATATGTAAAAGCTAGCCAATAAGAAACTGAAACTAATGGGTCAGGCAGTGTTTAAAAGAATACAGTTTCCGTGTAATTATTTCGGGTAAAGCTAGCCGGGTGGCGGGACACAGCCCGCCGCTCCGTATTTCAACACACACATACACATATTTTTAAAAATTGAAACCAAAACTACTATATGACCCAGCTATGTCACCCCTAGGACTCCAACTCAGCATACTAGTTCTATGGAATAATCTTTTGTACACTGTGAAGATGTGTCACTCATATTGGTTTAATAAAAAAAAAACTAAATGATCAATAGCTAGACAGGATTTTCAGGGCAGAGAGAATGCTGGGAAGAAGAAG